AAAAAAAAAAAAAAAAAGAAGAAAACATAGGGGGAAAGCTTTGTGACATTAGATTTGGCAATGATTTCTTGGCCATGAGAGCAAAAACACAGAAAACAGGCTCAGCATCCAAGGCTCAAGTGGCTAAAGTGCCAGCCACATACACCAGAGCTAGCAGGTTCGAATCCAACCTGGGCCTGCCAAACAACAATGACAACTACAACCAAAAAATAGGTGCTGGGTGTTGTGGTGGGCGCCTGTAGTCCCAGCTACTTGGGAGGCTGAGGCAAGAGAATCACTTAAGCCCAGGAGTTGGAGGTTGCCGTGAGCTGTGACCCCACGGGGCTCTACCCAGGGCTAGCTTAAGACTCTGTCTCAAATAAAATTTTTAAAAAGCACAGAAAACAGAAGAAAAAAGAAAACATGTGCATCAAAGGATACCATTGACAGAGTGAAAAAAGGCAACCTGTGGAATGGGAGAAAATATTTGCAAATTATATGACTGATAAGGAACTAATTCCAGAATATGTAAAGAACATTTGTAGCTCGACAACAACAAAACCCCCACTAGGCAGGGGTAGTGGCACATGCCTGTAGTCACAGCTACATGGGAGGCAGAGGTAAAAGGAGCACTTGAGCCCTAGAGTTTGAGGTTGCTGTGAGTTACAAAGCCACAGCACTCTACCCAGGGCAACAGAGTGAGTCTCTGTGTCCAAAAAAAAAAAAAATGCTGCCTTCTTCATAAGTGGAAACTTGCCCATGATGGCAGATTTCACACCCAGGCTTACATTCATGAGACTTAATGAGCATCTTAGGTATTTACTAAGAATCTTGGAAGTAGTATCTGGTCCAAAATAGCAGCCCCCTCCTTGACTCATGTTTATATAATAGCCTTTTTTTTTGCCTTTTAGATAATTCCACAGACTATCAATAACCTGTTCCCATTTACACTTTGATAAATGTTCATAAAGGGGTTGATTTGCTTTGAGTCTCTTGGGCATAGTAATAGTTAAACGTACTTTATGTAGCTTCAATTCAGGGGCATGTCTCCCTTTGCTTCCTTTGGTGACATCAGCACAAATTTCATTTCTTTCTACATGGTGGGGAAAATTCAAGTCTGTGGACTCATATCCCACCATATGTGATCAAGATTTCATTGTCATTATGCAGCCTTAAAGATGGAGACTCTACCTTTTTCATGTTTACATGGATAGAGCTGAAACATATTCTTCTTGGCCAAGTATCTCAGTGGAAGAAAAAGTATCCAATGTACTCAGCCCTACTATGGAACCAATTTATAGCTTTAAGCTATAACCCAATTATAGCCCAAGAATATGGGGAAAGGGAAGAGGAGGGAGGGGAGGGGAAAAGGGACGGTAATTGATGGGACCACATCTAGGGTGCATCTTACATGTGAAATTTACTAAATGTAGAATATAAATGTCTTAACGCAGTAACTAAGAAAATGCCGTGAAGGCTATGTTAACTAGTTTGATGAAAATATTTCAAATTGCATATAAAACCAGCACATTGTACCCCATGAGTGCATTAATGCACACAGCTATGATTTAATTAAAAAAAAAAGATTTCATTGTCAATGATTGGAAGCCAGGTATCGAGGTCTTCCAAGATTTGTATAATTTCTTTTCCCTTGTAACTTACATTTGAGCAAAATTTCTTTGTGAAACCATATCTCAGATTCATCATCAAATCTTCATGGTTCCCTCTTTTCCCGTGCAGGTCATTGGGAAGAAAACTCATAAACAGGATCATTAGGATCTCTATGGAATTTTTTCCTTGATCTACAAAATCACCATTAAAAACATATAGGATTATCCCTGAAGGGAGATAACAAGAATTTTTTTTATTTTTTTTTTTTTTGAGACAGAGTCTCAAGCTGTCACCCCAGGTAGAGTGCCCTGGCGACATCATAGCTCACAGCAACCTACAATCTTGGGCTCAAGTGATCCTCTTGCCTCAGTTTTGGTTTTTTGTTTTTTTTTTTCTTTTTTAGTCTCACTCTGGCTCAGGCTAGTCTGAAACCCATGAGCTCAAGCAATCCGCCTGCATTGGACTCCTGAGTGCTAGGATTATAGGCATGAGCCACCACACCTGGCCCACAAGAGAGTTTTATAGAAGATCAAAAAAAGATTACCCAGTGTCCCATGTAAATCACTGCAGACCATTACCTCTCTGGAGGGAAAAGTATTTGTGTGAGTGAAATTCAGCATCTGCTTTGGGACTTTCTTGTTTTCAAACAATAAATCCACCTCTATCAAGGCTGCAATGAACTATGATTACCCATTGCACTCCAGCCTGGGAGACAGAGTGAGACCCTGTCTCTTTAAAAAAGGTGGTGGGCATTTTTAAGACATAATGAGTAGCATGAGGCCTCCAGAAGTAAATCAGTATCAGTAAAAGAGAGAGAAAATTGCAGCTGAGGGCAATCACAGGCGTCTGGGACATCTTTCAACTTCAGAGTCCTGTCTATCCTTGATGTCTTATTGATTTGCAAAAAATCAAGTAATTGTTTGCCAGTTTATTATAAAGGCTATCTATCACAAAGGATACAGATGAAGAGATGCTTAGGGAGAGGCAGAGGGGAAGGGACAGGGAATTTCAATTCCTTCCCCGGGAACACCCCCAATGTATCCAGCTATCTGGAAGCTGGAACTGGAATCCTTGTGCCTTGCTGGTGGGCTTGTTAACGTGTACAGCTTCTTTGAAAACAACATGATGGTTTCTCAAAAAAGTAAACGTGGAATTGCCACATGATCCAGCAATTCCACTTCTGGGCATATACACAAAAGAAACGAAAGCAGGGGCTCAAACATGCATCGGTACACCCCTGTTTATAGCAGCATTATTTATAATCGCCTAAAGGTGGAAACAACCCAAGTGTCCACTGATGGATACATGGATAAACAAAGTGTGGTATATGTACAATGTGATATTATTCAGCCTTAAAAAGGAAGGAAATTCTGAAACAAACATGCCTTTGAATGCCTTCAAATAAACCTTGAAGACATTATGCTAAGTGAAATAAGCAAGACACAAAAGGACAAATATTGTACAATTCCCTTTATATAAGGCACCCAGAGTAGTCAAATTCATACAGGCACAAAATAGAATCTCCATTGTTAGAGAATGGGGTTAGGGGAGATGGAGAGTTAGGGTACAGAGCTTTAGTTAGGAATGATGAAAAGTTCCGGAGATGGATGGTGGTGATGGTTGAAAATAGTGTGTACTTAATGCCACTGAATTGTATACCTAAAGATGGTTTAAATGCTAATTTTTTTATTTTTTGCAGTTTTTTTTTTTTTTTTTTTTTGGCCAGGGCTGGGTTTGAACTCGCCACCTCCAGCATATGGGGCCGGCGCCCTACTCCTTTGAGCCACAGGCATCGCCCAAATGCTAAATTTTTATGTATATTTTACCACAATAAAAAATGGATCAAAGACTTAAATGAATAGCTAAGATTATAAAAATCTCAAAAGAAAACAGAGGTGAGTCTTCATGAGCTTGGATTTGGCAATGGATTCTTAGACATGCCACTGAAAACACAAGCAACAAAAGAAAAAATAGGTAATTGGACTTCATCAAAATTAAAAACTTTTGTGCTTCAAAGAAGACACTCAAGGAAGTTAAAGATAACTCACAGAATGGGAGAAAATATTTTTAAATCATTTATGATAGAAGACTTGTATGGGCCATGTGTGGTGGCTCACACCTGTAAACGTAGCACTTTGGGAGGCCAAGACGGAAGGAATACTTGAGGGCAGGAATTCAAGACCAGCCTGAGTGACAGAGAGACCCCAACTCTACAGAAAAATAGAAAATTAGCTGGGCCTGGTGGCTTGTGCCTGTAGTCCCAGTTACTGAGTAGGCTGAGGCAGGAGGATTGCTTGAGCCCAGGAGTTCGAGGTTGCTGTGAGCTATAAAGACACCACCGCACCCAACCTAGGACAACAGAGTGAGACTCTTTCTCAAAAAAATAAAAAATAAAAAAAACTATACTGAGATACCACTTTGTACCCACTATGATAATAAAAGGCAGATAATAACAAGTGTTGGCAAGGATGTAGAGGAATCAGAATCCTCATATACTGCTGAGAGGGATATAAAACGGTACAGCCATTTTGGAAACTAGGTCAGCAATTCCTTAAACAGTTAAACAAAGAGTTACTATATGACCCAGTCATTCCACTCCTAGATATCTACACACACAAAATATATCTACAGAAACACTTATACACAAATGTTTATAGTAACATCATGCATCATAGCCACAGAGAAGAAACAACCCACATGTCCATCAACTCATGAATGGACAAGCAAAATGTAGTATATCCACACAATGGAATATTCAGCAATAAAAAGGACTGAAGTACCGATATACAGTAGTACGTGGAAGAACCTTGAACCCACCATGCTAAGTGAAAGAATCCAAGTACAAAAGACCACATTATGTGATTCCCTTTCTATTATGAAATGCCTAGAATAGGTTAATCTATAGAGACAGGAAGTACTTCTGAGGTTGTTCAGAGGCTGGGCAGGCAGTTGTGAGTGATACTGAAAGTGAAATTGGGTTTGTTTTTGAGGTGATGAAAAGGTTATAAAATTGACCATAATGTTGCACATACCTGGGGATATACTAGAAGACGTTGAATTGTACATTAAATGGGTGGTTGGTATGCTGTGAATTTTATCTAATAAAGGTGTTATTATTTTTTAAAAAATCAAATACAATGTCAGCAAGAAGGAAAAAAAAAAGAGTGAAAGTTGTGAAAGTGAGGTGGGGTAGCTGGAGAGTGAGAGCAGAGCTATTTAAAGGAGCTCAGCTATGAAGAGAAGGGCAGCAGTGAGGGGTGGAGGGAGGAGTTTTAGTGCTTTGAGGACTAGGGTCCAGCGCACAGGTAGAGAGAGGTTTTAACAAGACAGCAAAAGAGCCTTGTCCTACAGCACAGCCTCTCAAACTTTACTGCGGGAGGGTAGGAGCCTGACTTTGGTGGGCACCTTGCTCCAAGTTGCAAAACTACATTTGTAATTTTCCTTGGGATAAAGCCAATAAGCAAACACAGATGGGCACCCCAATTACTAGGTAAAGCTAGGATGTTCTAGATGTGACAGTAATTCTGTCAAGTCCTCTTACTTGAAGATGGGTTGTTGTTTATCCTGAAAACATGATTGTAATAGGATGTACCTGTTTGGCTGTAAGAGAGATTTCCTTCTGTCTTTATTTTCTTTTTCTTTTCTTTCCTTTTTTTTTTTTTTTTGAGACAGAATCTCACTCTGTTGTCCTGTGTGGAGCACTATAGCATCATAGCTCACAGCAACTTCAAACTCTCAAACTGATGGGCTCACACCATCCTCTTGCCTTAACTTCCTGAGTAGCTGAGATGATAGGCACCTGCCACAATGCCTATTTTTAGTAGAGTCAGGGTCTTGCTCTTGTTCAGGCAGTTCTCCAATTTCTGAGCTCAAACAATCCAGCTGCTTCAGCCTCCCAAAGTGCTAGGATTATAAGCATCAGCTGTATCCTTGCAATTTCTTAGCAGATATGCAGTATCACCATTCTGGTTTAATTCATACTCAGTAATTAAATTTTCTTTCTCCTCTACTCTTGTGGAGAGGATTTCTGGGGTGGGAAAACATTTAGATTTTTAATAGTTCTCAAACTTGAACCTGCTGCAGGTTGGAGTGTGTCCCACTCCCAGTTCAGGCTGCTCACCAGCCCTCTTTCCCACACTCAGCTTTCTCTCCCTCCACTTGCAGGAGTTTGGGGACCATGCTACTCTGACCCTAGCTTTTGATATGCCATCTCCCAGCACCCAGCACATCATTCTGTTAGGCAACCTTCCCCTTTAAGAGCACCCCCCCACCCAGCTCCTCCCTCATGCTGGTGACCGGATTTCCAGATTGTGGCCCAGCGCTTTAAAGCCATAGCTCCAGTTTTCTGGTCGGATGTGTGCTGAGACTTGAGGCAGAGACATCGGGCCCCTGATACTGGAAGTAGATGGAAGTGGACTGTGACAGGTGCATGTGACCATGAGCACACTGACCAGGGCTCAAGAGGAATGCAGAGCTTGGACAGGGTGGATCCCAAGAGAAAGGGAAGCCCCTATGTGCCAGGCCCTGTGCCTTCTGAGGGAGGTATCTATATTCCCGTTTTGCAGATGAGGAAACAGCGCACAGCAGAGCTGCCTGATAAGGCAGGGCCCTCCTGCTAACAAGTGGCAGAGGCAGGATCTAAACTCAGGTCAGTGGGACTCAAAAACCTCCACCGTCTCTCCCCTGAATGCCGACAGGGCCCTGCCTTCTTCCCAAACTTAATTTTCCTCGGTTTTCCAGGATGCAGTAGAGTGCGGGGAAGAAATGGGTTATTCCTCCGCCCCATACTTGGGTTCCCTTTTCCTCCCAGGAGCTGTGTAGAGATGCTTCTGTGGTTGCTGCTGCTGCTGTCACTGCTGCTGTTGCCACTGGCCTTGCTCCGACAGCAGTGGTCCCAGGATACCAGGTGGTCCTGGATTGCCAGGCTCCAGCACCGTGTGGTATGGGGTGTTCTGGGCTGGGCAACCACCTGGCAGTGGCGAAGGCTGGAACAGAGCACGGTACACATGAACCAGAGCCAGCAGCAGGCCCTAAGGTGGTGTCTGCAGGGAGCCCAGGGTCCCCGCTGTCCCCTTGGGGGCAGCACAGGTGTGTTTTGGGGTCTGGGAAGGTGACCCACAGAAAAAGAAACCCCACAGGTCATCAGATTCCAGAACTTGAATCGCCCCTTCCTTCCTGCCATCTGCCCCCTCCACTGGCAACATAGAGTGGCCTGAGCCAGAGACCCTACCCAGCCCAGGATTGGCTCTCTCAGCCAAGAGGAAATTTCCCATCCTGGGCCCTCAGAATCTTTTCCCCAGGTTTCTCCCTCAAGTGTCTCACCAATCTTGTTTGAAACACTTGGGAAGCTGGGGCTTCCTGAAGAGTTTCTGGTGTCTTTGGGGCTACAGAAATGAGCACATTCCGGAATCATCTCCCTCTAACCAAAGCCAGCCAGGCCCAAGAGGAAGAAAGTGGTGGGCAGCACCCAGCCCCTACCTCAAACCAGTACCAGGGGGAGGCCTCTCTGCAGGTTAGTGGGAAGGCCAGAGCCCAGCCCCACTAGAGAGCCCTGCTTACAGCTAAACCCTCCTAGCATGGCGGGCAAAGAACCCCCATACTGGTCTGGGACCAGATCAACACCCTCTTTTCTCTCCCTCCAGGCCACTTTGCTGGGTCTGGTCACCCTAAACAAGGCCTACCCAGAAGTGCTGGCTCCAGGAAGCACTGCCTGTGTGACCCTTACATCCCCTTGGCCCAGTTGCCTCCCCTGGCTTGGCCATGCCCTGGGCCGGGTTAACCCCCCTGGAGTCAAGGATCCCATGGTCTTGCTGCTGAAGGCACTGAGGTGCCCAGGGCTGAGAGTACTAGAGGCCGGGACAGCAGTGGAACTCCTAGATGTCTTCTTGGGCCTGGAGGCTGATGGTGAAGGGCTGGCTGTGGCGATAGCAACCGGGAACCCAGGAGCACCTCTCCCCAGACGGGCTGCTGAGCTACGCCAGGCCCTACAGCAGGGACCCCGAGGACTGGCCCTGCGGCTCTGGCCAAAGCTGCAGGTGGTGGTGACTCTGGATGCAGGTGGCCAGGCTGAAGCTGTTGCTGCCCTTGGAGCCTTGTGGTGCCAAGGGCTAGCCTTCTTCTCTCCTGCTTACGTTGCCTCTGGAGGTCAGTAGGACTCAAGGGCAGTGAGCTGGGGACAGGGGTCAGAGGTGCCATGTATGGAGCCCTGCATGATCATCTCATTTAATCCTCCCCCATAACCTGGGGATTAGCAGCTTCCTTTTACAGATGAAGAAATGGAGGCTCAGAGGTTAAAGGTCTTGCCCAAATTCTCATGCACTGGGATTTCCTCCCAGGTCTGCTACCTCCAGAACCACTGTACTCTGTCTCCACCTAGCAAGGCAAATGGCTGAGTCTGGGGCAGCCAGGCAAGATGGGTGCCAGGAAGGACAGCAGCAGGGTCAGGTTCCCAGAGGGTTGGTGCCTGGGGCCCTCACAAAGACAGTGGCCCCATGAGATGATAAGGAGGCTGTGTGCTCCTTGCAGGGGTGGTGGGCCTAAACCTATGGCCAGAGCAGCCCCGTGGGCTGTATCTTCTGACCCCTGGACCCCCCTTTACTGAGCTGCTCCCAGTCAAGGAAGGAGCCCAGAAGGAGGCCACCTCCACCCTCCTTCTGGCCGAGGCCCAGGAGGGCAAGGAGTATGAGCTGGTACTAACTGACCGTGTCAGCCTCACCAGGTGATAACCTGCCCAGTCCTTGCTCCCGTAGGGCACCTGGGACCCTGCTGGGAACCCCAAGCATGGGCTCATGGACCCTTGGGCCTGATCTTACTCCCACTGCCCCCATCAGGTGCCGCCTGGGTGATGTGGTACGTGTGGTTGGTACCTATAATCAGTGTCCAGTCATCAGGTTCACTTGCAGGTAGGTGACCCTGTGGAGGTGAGTAGCCACCCTTGTCCCCTGGGCTTTACTGCCTCCTTCTTCCTACTCCCCAGGCTGGGCCAGGCTCTGAGTGTTCGAGGAGAAGATATTGGTGAGGACATATTCTCCAGGGCACTGAGTCAGGCAGTGGGACAATGGCCAGGGGCCAAGCTGTTGGACTATGGCTGTGTGGAGAGCAGCATTCTGGGTAAGCTTCCCCACTACTCCTGCCTCCCATTCATGGGTTGGCTACCTTCTGCCTGTCCCTACCCTGCTGGGAGACCTCTAGTAATTAGGAAGGAGAGAAGACTCAGCTTCCTTTGCTTTCCTAACTAAAGTCCTTCCTCATGTCTAACTCCCATACCTCCTACTGCAGCTTCTACCTATTTTCTTTCTCGACCTCTCTCATAAGTAGGATTAGCCTCTAGGTTCTTCTCCATTTACCCCAATCCCTACCAAAAACCTTTTTCTTTCTTTCTTTTTCTTTCTTTCTTTTTTTTTTTTTTCTGTCGTGGACCTCAGAGCAGGAAAGAACAGATAGGGACAGAAGCTTTGGAAGCTGCCCTCTTCACTGGCAGTGTGTGTGCATTTGGGGTTTGTCCACAGATTCCTTTGAGGGTTCTGCTCCCCACTATGAGGTGTTTGTGGAGCTGAGGGGTCTAAGGAATCTGTCAGAGGAAAATCGAGACAAGGTAAAAGAGACAGGGACAGGGTATGACAACATGTCTCCTTCACTCTGCACATCCCCAGGGTGCTATGGAGACGGGGGGGGGGGGCGCGCAAAAGGGAAGGGTGGGGCTGCACAGAAGCTTCTAGGGCTCTGGGATGGAAGGTGTGAGTCCCACAGACACACACGTGCACACGCACAATTCCTAAATGCACGTACGCACATCAGCTTCACTCAGGCTCTTCTGTCCGCAGCTGGATCACTGTCTTCAGGAAGCCTCTCCCCGCTATAAATCCTTACGGTTCCGGGGCAGTGTGGGCCCTGCCAGAGTCCACCTGGTGGGGCCAGGGGCCTTCAGAGCACTCCGGGCAGCCCTCTCTGCCTGCCCCTCATCCCTTTTCCCTCCTGAGATGCCCCGAGTCCTTCGGTATAGACACTTGGCCCAGTTCCTGCAGAGGAGGGTGGTGTCCTGAGCCAAGGGCTCCCCCATGGCTCCAGCTCCTGTCAGAGGCTGCCTTGCTCTCTCTCCTCTGGGGCTTGTCTGAATGGGTAGTCCTTGTTAGGGGACTCTGACTGTATGCCACCCGACATTTGCCTCTGAGAGCCACTAGGCCTTAGGGAGGCCTTGGCCCAGTTTGCTATTTCTGAGGCATGGGCCTCAGGAGTTTAGCAGATGCCAGCAGGACCCTGCCAGTATCCCTTTTGGCCCACCATGGAGGACACTGCTAGAATTCCCATGCACACCCATGCCTTCCTGTGTCTCTCACCTGATATTGTTCTCTAGCCACAGATTGTGTCCCTGGCCAGTGTACTAGGTTGGCTGGAAGTTTGAGGGCTTCCCAAGAGCAACCCTCTATCAATAAGGAGCAAGAGTTGGTGAATAAAGACCTCAGCGTCATTGTCCTTGAATGAGACAATTCTGAAGAGCCCTATATAATCTCTCAGAGGGTCCCCCACAGGATGGAGTTCAACTGCACGGGAGCCCACTCCTTAATGTGCTTCTTATTGGGCCTCTGTCCTTCCCTCCTTCCCCACTCCCTCATGGGATCAACTTCCAAATAAACTTCTTGTACCCCAAATTGTTGCCTCAGGGTCTGCTTTGGGGAATCCATGCAGTGGTTCCATTTGCTCTGCTGCTGCTGCAGCCTGGGCTCTCTCCCTGCCCTGCAGTCAGATCCAGGATAGGTTGGGCCCCTAGTAGGTGTGCACACAGCAGCCATGAAGGCCAACCCCTTGGAAACAAACTCACCTCCTCCTGCCTCCCCTATCTCAAGTGTAACCTGATAATAGAGGGGCTATTCCCCAACTTCCCCTACCCTGCTTTCGCACTGGTCCCTTCCCTGGCTCAGCACCTACAAATCACCTCCATGGTAGGGAAGGGGGAGACCACTTCTATCATAAAGCGTCACAGCAGGAAGTAGCCCCAGAGAGCAGCTGAGTTAACTGTCCATACCACTAGGGAAACTGAGCCTCCACAAAGTTGGGAGGCTTGCCCAAGATCCTGCACATCCTCCTAAATAAGGGAAGCCCCTATTCCATGCTTCTCCATTCACCTGCCCCACATTCATCCAGCCTCCCCATATCAAGAGCCCCACAACTCCTGTTAAAATCTTTCCATGGTGACTCCCCTCCCCCATAGGAGTAAGACCAATCAGCTTGGCCTATGTGACCCTGGCCCCCACTTACTCATCCAGTCACCTCTCTCCCCTTGCTGAGGAAAAGGCCTGGACAATGAGGACCACACATACCCCCATCCCAACTAAGCTATGCATTGTCACCACCAGGCTTTTGCTCAAGGCCTCTTTTCTGTGGAATGCCTTCTCCCCCAACCAGATCTAATAGAAATCTACTTTTTTTTTACACAGGGCCTTTGAGGCCCCCTGCCTCACCCCAGACAGCAGTGATTGGCTCAACTTTGCTGAAGTCTACAGTAGTGCTTTCCCTCACTGAACTATCATTATGCCTGAACTGCCTCCCACCTGGACTTATGCACTCCTGGAAACCAGGCCAGGTCCTATGAACAGTTGCTCCCATGCCTAGTGCCAGGCCTGGCACAGAGCAGAAGCTCAATAAACAGGCCCTGAACAAGAGAAACTCGGGCCTGGAGATGACACCTGTCCCCACCCCATGGTGGCTCACTCCTTGATGGAGGGCTAGGACTATATCCCTCTCCTCCAAGCAACCTGGCTCAGGGAGAAAACCAGGAGGCAAAAGCTTTTTGGTTTGGGTTTCCTTTCCTCTTACTGTCTAGGCTGAGTTTTCAAGATTTTCCATCCTGGAGAATGGTGGAAAGGGCAGAAGGGAAAGAAAGAGCTGAGGTGAGGAGAGGCAGTGAGGTAACCTTTTCAGACTCTTGGGGCAGTAACCAGGATGGGAGGAAAGGCCTTCTGAGTGGCTGTCCTTTCCTTACACACAATGTGGCTAGTGGTCTCAAGACTGTCTCTTTCTGTTCCTAATTAACAGTTACCTTCCCCTCATATTGTCCCAGGCTAGCACCCCAGCCAAGGCCTCTTTTGTGCTGTCAGATTCCTGGGTGCAAGATGGCCTCATTAGTGCCCAGAGACCAACCCATCTCCAGGGAGCAGGCAGACAGACAAGGGAGGGGCACCAGGGGCATAGTGATCCAGCCTCAGCTTCTGAATGTCTCAGCAGCCATTCCTTGGGCCGAACCTGGAGACGGCCTCCTTGCAGAAGGCTAATCTTAGACCTGCCTTTGTCTGGCCCTGGAGTGGACGCATGGGCCCGTCTCTTCCCCGCCACCTCAGAGCACTATAAACCCCAGGCTCCTGGTAGCAGGTCACTGTAGACTGCCTCAAGATTCCTGGCCACCTGAACCACTGCAGATACCTCCTTTCCTGGCCGCCCCACCCTGCACTCCAGACACCATGAAGCTTCCTTCCACAAAGGTAAAGACCCAGGGACTGAGCGGTGACTCATATACCAGAGAGACAATGAGAATGCTTGCTTAGGGGGCTAGAAGAAAGGCCAAAAGTCTTTGGTCTTTGCCCATGCATGCACTAAGGCAGGAGACTGGGTGCACCCATGGCCAAGACTCTGCTGTGGCTAATATTGGGTTGTGCTCTGTTCTCCTAGGAGCTTGGGTTATTCAATACTTGCTATGTGTCAAGTGGTGCTTGCACCTGTCATCTCACTTCCTCCTCCCAGCATTCCTTCATGGTAGGAATTAATACCCAGTTTACAGGCAAGAAGCCTGGGCCCGGCTCGGCGCCTACAGCTCAACCGGCTAAGGCGCCAGCCACGTACACCTGAGGTGGCGGGTTCGAATCCCCAGCCCGGACCCACCAAAACAACAATGACGGCTGCAACCAAAAAATAGCCGGGCGTTCTGGCGGGTGCCTGTGGTCCCAGCTACTTGGGAGGCGGAGGCAGGAGACTCGCTTGAGCCCAGGAGTTGGAGGTTGCTGTGAGCTGTAATGCCACGGTACTCTACCCAGGGGGACAGCTTGAGGCTCTGTCTCAAAAAAAAAAAAAAAAAAAGAAGAAGCCTGGGCCCCTGAGAGGGGTGGAGACTGGTCCAAAGCCATGGAGGTTAGTTACCCCTGCAAGGGAGCAGGCAGATGAGAGGACAGTTAGGAGTCCTGCAAGTCCCCAATTTCCATGTGTTTGCCTGCTGTGGAGGGGAATGGGAAGTACTCAGTAGGACTTCTGTTTTCCTGGGTTTACAACTTCTGGTGCAGACAGAGTCAGACACACAAGTTTTTGGGTACTGTGGTAAGTGCTCTACTGGAGGGGTACAATGGACTGAGGGTATCCAGAGGAGAGAGGGATTCATTCTGCCTAGGGGTTCTCAAACGGCATCTTCCCAGAGGAGATGCTCTGCTGGGTCTTGAATAATGAACAGGTAAAGGACCCAGATGTGAGCCTTCTCTAACAGAGCCCTTCAGACAGCAAGCGGAGAGGCGCAAAGGCTGGGACAGGGCGCAAAGCCAGCTGGGCAGGTCCTAGACGTGGGGGCTAATTGCGGGCGCAGTGGGAAGATTCCCTAGCACCATGTCTCCGCCTCCCTAGGTCTCCTGGGCCGCCGTGACGCTACTGCTGCTGCTGCTCCTGCCGCCCGCGCTGCTGTCTCCCGGAGCGGCCGCGCAGCCCCTGCCCGACTGCTGTCGTCAGAAGACGTGCTCCTGCCGCCTCTACGAGCTGCTGCACGGAGCTGGCAATCACGCTGCTGGCATCCTCACCCTGGGCAAGCGGCGGCCGGGCCCCCCCGGTCTCCAGGGTCGGCTGCAGCGCCTCCTGCAGGCCAGTGGCAACCACGCCGCCGGCATCCTGACCATGGGCCGCCGCGCAGGCGCAGACCCAGTGCCGCGCCTGTGTCCCGGGCCGGGCTGTCCCGCCACGGCTGTCACCTCCGTCGCTCCTGGGCGACTGTCTGGGGTCTGAAGCGTTCTTCGGGCCCCCTCCTGCTTCTGCTCTCTTCCCTATGCCCACCCGGCATCGGCCCCCAGAAATACGGCAATAAAGGCAAGTCTCCGCGTGGCCGATCTCTGTTCCTGTGTGATCGCGTCCAGCCCTCCAGGGGGCGAGAGAGCGTATTGTGAACTAAAGTCCGAGGGCCTGAGAGCCTGGCTCTGGGGCACCAGCCTCAGCTTATGCATTGTTGAATCTGAAACGTTCTGGGTTGAGGAGTTTCCAGGGGAAGCTCTTGGGGTGCCGAGTGAGCCGCAAATATGCATGCTTGAAGGGAAGAATGCGGGACAAGTGCGTCCGATGATACTCTACTAGTGATGGTGTAACTTCGCCTTTCCCCAGAAACACACAGGAGGGGCAGGGGAGAGAGAAAGGCTTCATCGAGGAGCAGAATCTGGCTGGGAATTCGAGGGAGTCAAGCCTGTCTGTCAAAAAGGCAGGAAATATGAGCTCCAATAGTGAATCGTCTAGAGTGGCTGCAGCATGGGGTACAAAGTGTAGAGAGGGTTGAGGGTCCAGAAGAGAGGCGGTTAAGTTCACGCAGCCTGGATTGTGAAGGCCCTTACATGTCATCAGGCTTTGCACTTTATTCTGTAGGCAGCAGAGTCACGGGAAGTTCTTAAGCAAGGGTAGGGCAAGAGCTTCCTGCAACTCTAGATGAAAACACCTATTACTGTGAATTGCTTTCCCCTAAGGTTTGTATGTGGAGGTCCTAACTCCTGCCACTTCAGAATGTGATGTTATTTGGAAATAGGGTCCTTGCAGATGTAATTAGTTAATATGAGGTCATACTAGAGTAGGCTGAGCCTCTAATATAAGGTGTCCTATAAGGTGTCCTTATAAAAGAGAGAATTAGGACACAAAAACACTCAAGGAGAACCCATGTGAATATGAAGGTAGAGATTGAGGTGATGCTTCTACCATGCCAAAGAAAGCCAAAGATTGCCAGCAACCCACCAAAAGGTGGGGGAGAGGCATGCAACAGATTTATCCCTCACAGCCTTCAGAAGAAACCAACCCTACCTTCTCTTTGATTTTGATGGAACGTTTTCTTTTTTTTTTCTTCTTTCTTCTTCTTCTTTTTTTTTTTTTTTTTTTTTTTTTTTTTTTTTTTTTTTTTTTTATTGAACGATAACTATGTACATTAATGCACTTCTGGGGTACAGTGTGGGGTTTTCACATGCAATCTGAAATACTTCCATCAACTGGTCAACACAGCCTTCATGTCATTTTCTGTTATTGCTTTAAAACATTCACATTCTACTCTTAGAAAGATTCACCTGTACCCCTATAAGGTAAACCTCAGAAGTAATCCCTCCAAACTCCCTCCCTCCACCCATTACCCCCTCTCTTCTCCCTCCCCCCTCCCCATATTCTTAGGCTATTTGGTTATAGCTTTCATATAAAAAGGTTTAAATTAGTTTTATAATAGGGGTGTGTACATTGGATATTTTTTCCTCCATTCTTGTGATACTTTGCTCAGAAGAACATTCTCCAGCTCCATCCATGTGAACATGAAGGATGTAAAGTCTCCATCCTTCTTAATGGCTGCATAGTATTCCATGGTGTACATATACCACAGTTTGTTGATCCATTCATGGATAAAAATATGGAACGCTTCACGAATTTGCGTGTCATCCTTGCGCAGGGGCCATGCTAATCTTCTCTGTATCGTTCCAATTTTAGTATATGTGCTGCCGAAGCGAGCACCTTCTTCTTTTTTTTTTTAAACCAGAGTCTCACTCTATCATCAGGGGTAGAGTGTATGGCATCAGAGCTAACAGTAACTTCAAACTCTCCTGCTCAAGTGATGCTCTTGCCTCAGCCTCCCGAGTAGCTGGGTCTACTATAGGTGTATGCTGCCACACTCAACTAGTTTTTCTATTTTTAGTAGAGACAGGGTCTTTGCTCTTGCTCAGGCTGGTCTCAAACTCCCCAGCTAAAGCCATCCACCCACCTCAGACTCTCAGAATGCTAGGATTACAGGTGTGAGCCACCACATCCAGCTTGGTCTTGGTTGAACTCTTAGCATTCAGAATTGTGAGATAATAGATTTCTGTTGTTTGAGCCACCCATTTTGTGTGTGTGTGTGTGTGTGTGTGTGTGTGTTTTACAGGGGCTCAGTGTGGGATTATAGGGCTCTTCCTGTCTTGGTCTTCCAAGTAGCTATGACTATAGCACCCTTCACTATGGCTAGTTAATTTTTTTGTAGAAATAGGGTCCTGCTACATTGCCAAGGTTGGTGTCAAACTCCTGACATCAAGAGAGCCTCCTACCTCAGCCTCCCAAAGTGCTGGGATTACACAGGTGAATCACCAAGCTGGTAGTGGTACTTTGTAATGGCAGCCCTAGGAAAGTAATATAACATCCAAAAGTACAGAAACAGAAAGAGTGGCACTTTTTATTAAACTAATCCCAGACAATGCCCAATTTAGATGGTGGGAGTAAGGATGGGGAGCATTTAGCCTGTCTTCTTTGCCTACACAGGTTCCCACTCTTACTGACTTTAGTCTTTGGGAAAGCAGCCACCCTCTGTCACCACACTCAGTAATTTTCAGTCACAGGTAGCAAGAAAGTTCTGTGTCTAGTCTCACCTGGGTCCCTCTTCCTGAGGCACTGGTTCCATCTTGGAGAAGACAGAGATCAAAGTTCACAAACTGTGTGCCCATGGAGATTTGCCAAACCATCTTTGCCCACCTTGAAACCATCTTTCTCAGTCCCAAACTTGCCTCTATTGCCTCCAACCTCTTTTCCACTCGAAGGGCAGCAGAGAGGATTAAGTCAACATGGTAGAAAAAAGAACAAGGAAGCGACTGCCTTGCAAGACACTTATTTTGTGCCAGCAGCATGCACTATGCTATTAATTCCTAACAATAACTGCATGACGTAAGAATGATTAGGTGAGGAAAGTGAACCTTGGAAAGACTTTCACACAATTAGTGTTCAAAGCTGGGTCTGTAACTGGAGGACTCCAAACCTCTGTTCCTTCTGCCCGGCTGTGCTCAGAGGCAGAGTTCACCAGGGTGCTCTAGTCAAACTGAACCAGAAGGTGAGAGTTAGTGGTGCTTACTAGAAGTTGGGGTTCTGAGCCTCCTGTCCTGGATTCTCCACAAGCAAAACTAGCCTTTTAACCCTTGCTGTCTCACACTCGAGCAACAAGACTCGGAGCGCTGCGAAATATCCCAACTCCAGCAGGCGGCACTGTGAATCAGACACCAGCCTCAGCGTGGGGGGCACGCGGGAAAACCTACCAGGTGGAGCCACACTGAACATCCAGGGAACCACGTGTGGGGGAGTGGTCACTCGGAAAGAGGGCGTGTCTTCCTTCAAGCCCCGCCCCACCACTTCAGTCCTCCCCTCCCGGTGGGCGTGCCCCTAATTCCTTCCCCGAGAGACTCGCGTGGGCCTCTCACCTCAGGGAGGAGGGCTGCCTAGGGGTGTGCGGTCGTCTCTAGCGGCCCCTCCCCGTGCGGGACCACGTGGCGGGTGCGGGCCGAGCCCGAGGGGAAGAACCTGGCCCGTAGGGAGGTGGGGGGGACCTAGGCGGTGCAGAGCGGAGCCGAGAACTACGGGTTTGGAGCAGAGAGGAGGCGGCGGCAGCGGCAGCGAGAGGGAGGGGAGGAGGCAGGCGGGCGCATGGGGCGCCCCGGCCCCGCCGGCAGCTCTCCCCCTCCGGCCCCGCCGCGGTGAAGAGTTCCCGGCGCCGCACCTCGAACCCGTGCCCTGGGGCCATGCCGGTCATGAAGGGGTTGCTGGCCCCGCAAAACACCTTCCTGGACACCATTGTCACCCGCTTTGACGGCACGCGTGAGTGGGGCGTAGGTTGCGGCTGGGGTCTCAAGATGAGAGCCAAGTCTCCTTGGGGGCCAGCTGGGGTCTCCTGAATGTGGTGAAACTCTCCCATCCTCCGGTCCCAGGCGAGGAGAGAGAATGGAGTTGAGAGTCTAGGAACTCTGGAGCTGCTTCTCGTAAAGGAACAGGGCCGGGAGTGCCGTTCGAGGGGTGCAGGGGAAAGGGCCTAGAGCACGGGCGGAGCGGGGGGCGGTGTATGGGGGAGCCTAGGTTAGGGGGTGTGACTCCAGGCAGGAGAGGCTCTTTGTGCGACAAAACGGAGGAGGAGCCTTGGGAGCCGCCCACTCCTGGTCAGTGCGGTGCTGGGGGTGTGATGGGGGTATCTGAGATACGGAAGTGGAATGAAGTAGCTGAGCATTCTGGGGTCTACTCTCAGACTACTCCAGCTCCCACTTCCCCCATAAAAAAGGAGAACTTCGACAAGACCCAGCTTCCATTAAGGTCACACGCCTCCAAATCGTGGGGCGTCTGTATATGAAGTGGGTGAGGCAGGAGGAGGGGGGCAGTCCGTGCGACAGAGGGAACTTCCTGCTCGCCCACCCTAGCTTGGGTTCCAGGTTCAGCACCTTGGACAGCCACACCACTCCTTACCCGTCTTTTCTCCCGCCATTCCCTCTTCCTGCTCTGGAACCTGCCTCCCTCAGGAACCCTGTCGGTGGCCTGGAGGGTGGGGGAGCAGTACCCGAGGGCGGAAACAGAGCCGCGGGGCCCTACCCGCCTCCACCCCCCCCCACACCTCCCTTGTTTCCATAGCGCCCATCACCGGGGCAACAGGCCCTGGGATGGAAGAAAGAGGCTGAGCCCAGAGCTCAGTGCCTCCCAGGCACCTTCAGGGTCCCCATCAGTCCGCAGACACTCACACCTCTTAGTCCCCAGGACTAGTTGTGTCTCAGGACCCATCCCTTAGCTGAGACTTTGTCCCTGGTTGGCCCCAGGAGCCTCCCTGTGGCCTCCCACCCATTGTAGCTGGAGGGAGCCAGTTTGGGTTCTGCTACTGGGGGTTGCTGGAGCTATACCCTCAGTGCCTCTCTTGTCAGACTTTGAGCACTGGGAATAGACCCCTTTCAAATAGCTAAAGGGATGCTAAAAAGTGAACCTTTCCTGGGCGGCGCCTGTGGCTCAAAGGAGGCACTGGCCCCATGTATGGGAGGTGGTGGGTTCAAACCTGGCCCCAGCCAAAAACTGCAAAAAAAAAAAAAAAAGTGAACCTTTCCTGGAAGGCAGGGAAGAAGGCCACAACTCATACCTGTCTTCCCCCCCTCACCAAGGAGATTTGTGAGTTTGGATAATCAATGCCCTTTGGATTCCTATCAGTAAAATAAATGGGTATGATATCACCAGAATCTTTGCCCTGTTCACTCTGTATTGGGATGATAACATGGTGTCTTTGAAAGCAAAATGAACGTGGGAAATCATTTCACCTTCTTTTACTATATGCCAGGACATGTTCTCTCCAAGTTAACTCAGTAGCTCACACAACCACCATGTGAGGAAAGTCTATTATGCCCCACTTTGCAGATAAGGAAGCTGAGACACAGAAGAGATAGAACTGACTTGCCCAAGGACACACAGTCAGTAAGTGGCAGGGGAGGGGTGCAGGAGCCCAGGCTCCTACTGACCACACTATGCTACTTTCTACAGTGACAGTTCACCAGTGCAGGAAGATAGACTGCATAACCTCTTGGGGTTCCTTTCCCCCAACACCCCTGTAGTCCCTGCTTCACTTCTAGGCCACCACTGAATCCTTGTCCCTTTGCTCCATTTCTTCTTCCTCTCATTTCAGAATATCCCCAAAGGGAATTAGGAACACTATGGATGTCTAGGAAGCTTCTGGTTCTGTGACCTCTAACTACAGCTTAAAGGAGGTGCTGCCTACCTGGGAGCTAGCTCCCCACTCCTGGCCTTGTGCTGACCTTGACCTCTTCTTCCCACAGACAGCAACTTCCTGCTGGCCAATGCACAAGGCCCACGAGGTTTTCCCATTGTCTACTGCTCTGACGGCTTCTGTGAGCTCACAGGCTACGGTCGCACTGAGGTCATGCAGAAAACCTGCAGCTGCCGTTTCCTCTACGGTCCGGAGACCAGTGAGCCAGCTTTGCAGCGGCTGCATAAAGCCCTAGAAGGCCACCAGGAGCACCGGGCTGAAATCTGCTTCTACCGCAAGGATGGTGAGGGGCTGAACCTGCCCTGTAGCTCTGCCCAGAGCCCAGGCTGCACCCATGTTCACTGGGCACGGTAGACATCTGGGTGCTCACGCTCACACTGCAACAAGCTACCCATATGGATCCCTAACCCTCTCTGGGCCTCAGTGTCCCCATCTGAAAGATGAAGACACCAGCTAACAGAATACCTCGGATTCCTTTTAGCACTGAACATTTGCTGTTCTTTGCCTATATCTACAACCAAGGAACATTAGGGAGAAAGGCAGGCAGGTCATGGGGCTGTTCACACTTTTCCCTTTCTCTCTCCATTCCTCTAGGCTCAGCCTTTTGGTGCCTCTTGGACATGCTGCCCATCAAGAATGAGATGGGACAGGTCGTGCTGTTCCTCTTTTCCTTCAAGGACATCACTCAGAGTGGTAGCCCAGGACTTGGCCCCCAAGGAGGCCACGGGGACAGTAATCATGGTAAACTGCAAGTCTGAGCAGGAGGCATGAATGGTCAAAAGTCCTTGCCCAAGGTCACACAAAAATCTCTCCCTACCCAGTCTCATGGGACACGCTGTAACTTACCTCCCTACCTTTCTTCCCAACAGAAAACTCTCTCCGTAGGAGAGGAGCCAGCTCAAAACTTCAGTCTGCCAGAAGGCAGAGCCGTACGGTCCTACACCGATTAACTAGCCATTTTGGACGCCGGAGCCAGGGAGGCGTGAAGACCAATAATGTGAGTCCCAGTCCCATCCCAACATCTCCCAAGACCTCCTGCCTTGATTCTGAGGCATCCCTGCTAGTCTTTCTGTTTACCTTATTGGCTTCCATCCATAGGCTTTTTCCTTTGTCCATCCATTTCCCATGTACTACCTCTGCTCTATCTCATATCCCCCTGCCCACCTCTTCCTTGCTTCAAGAGATTGACATTACTCTGCTCTGATGAAGTCATGAGGATGGTGCTGTAGCAGCAGTTACATCCCTACCCCTGGGTGATACAGATATATTGTGAAGGATGAAATCACAAGTTGCTGTGGTTCTGGAGAGAAAGACCCCACTGAACAGGAGGAATTTGAGAGAGAAGTTAGTGACCCCCTCAGGCCAAGGCATATGCCTGATTTGTTATAATCTTCTCAAATAGGGTGAGAGTCAAGCCTTATAAATACTCCCCACAAAACACAATTGGTTCAAAAGGGAGGGTTCTGGGCAGAAGGAAGGAATGTCAGTGCTAGCCTCTGAACCCCGCTTCTGCACCTTCTGTTTCCTCCCATGGTTGCCCCTGCAGTGCCCACCTTCCCCGTCCCTGCCTCTCCCTCTCATCAGCCTTGGTTCTATCCCACAAGTGTCCCCAACCACCACCCCTCTCCCCTTAGAACGTGTTTGAGCCAAAGCCATCAGTGCCCGAGTACAAAGTGGCCTCCGTGGGGGGGTCTCGCTGCCTCCTCCTTCACTACAGCGTCCCCAAGGCCATTTGGGATGGCCTCATCCTCCTTGCCACCTTCTACGTTGCGGTCACCGTCCCCTACAACGTCTGCTTTTCGGGCGATGATGACACTCCCATCACTTCCCGACACACCCTTGTCAGTGACATCGCTGTGGAGATGCTCTTCATCCTGGGTCAGACCCTCTGTCTCATCCACCTTGGTGGGTGGGCTGTGGGGGGGCCCGCTTGGCCAAGCTTCACTCCATCCTGGGCCTGTAGAACCCAGGCATGTTCACAGCTCATCCTTTTCTGAGTCTTTTAAGTCCCAGTGGCCCATGTGCCCTGTCCCTTGTCCCCTGTAGCCTTCAGCCTGTGACCTCTCCTCCTCCATTCCTGCCTCCTCCTCCATCCTGGCTCTCCAGGGCTTGTTCCCAGCTTTCCTAGTTCCTTGACTCAGGCCAAGGCCCCCTAGTAATAGCCTCTTGCACCCCCAGATATCATCCTGAACTTCCGCACCACCTATGTGTCCCAGTCCGGCCAGGTGATCTCTGCTCCTCGTTCCATTGGCCTCCACTATCTGGCCACCTGGTTCTTCATTGACCTTATTGCTGCTCTACCCTTTGACCTGCTTTATGTCTTCAACATCACCGTGGTGAGTGATACCCATCCGCCATACAACCTAGCCTCCCAACTTCAGCCCAGCCTCTCCCATTAGGGCAATCCCTAAATCCAGTCCTTGCCATCAATCCATTTGCAAATATTTATCAAGTACCTGTCATAATCATAGCCCCGGGCTAGGTAGGTACTGGGAGAATATGAGAAGGTCAGCCCTCTTGGGGAGCTTAGCTCACAATCTTTGAGGGAAGCTGAGACAAATGAAAAGCTAACTATGGCTACCAAGGCGGCATTGGTCTGATGCCAATGAGTGGTACTTTTCACATTTTTATTTAACAAACAACTGATGAGCATTTAGCTGTCTGCAGAGCACTGTGTGGGGCCTGGTCACTGTAGGGAAAAGGAACATGGATTTAGCCTCTGAACAGCTAAACTGGTGAGAGGCAGGAATACCGGAGGGGACGTTAGGGATAGAAGAGGTGAACAGTGGTGGTGGGACCTACATATTGCCACATGGGGGCTGGACTGACCCTGGAATTCCAGTCTAGAACATGAGCATGTGTACAAATGACCTGAAACCTGGCCAGTACTTGGGAGGCAAAAGCACCCTAGTTGGACAGCTGTGAGGCTGGAGTGGTTTGGGAAGGGTGCCTAGGGAGGTGGGAGTAGAGCTAGACCTTCAAGGGTGAGTAAGATTTGGCTGGCAGGAGGTGAGGAGAGAGAGCATTTAGGGGGAGCATAGTAAGCCAAGAAAAGGAGGTAGGGGCCGTGGGGTAGATTTGGAGGCAGAGAATGCCAGGACTCATATCCTCACAGCTCCCTGGGGACTACCTGGAGGTGCTCTGAGTGCCCAGTTGTAGACGCGGCTGGCAGATGGTAGGTCTTTTTAAGTCCAGGGTGAGGCAGTCCTGCCCTGTGTCCCCAGACCCCCTTGCCTGTTGGCTAGGGAAGTGGGGAGCAATTTCCTTGTGTGCTCTCCCTGCTGCACTCAGCTATAGCAGGAAACCACCTACACGCAGCCGAATTTAACTAGCCGCCAACGGGCTGTGGGCCTCTTCTTCTAGCTGTGCACACGTGTGTGCAAGTTTCCACACACGTGCATGTGTGTATGTCTGCCCTGAGGCTCCAGCCATTCTGAGCAGAGCTCCCCACCCCTCCCCAGGAGTGCACTCACCCTTCTGTCCCCACCAAGCAGTATCAGCAGGGGAGAGGGAAAGCCACAGAGAGCCCTCTGCCCCTCCCCTGAGGGAGTTCCCACTCCTCTGGCACCTTTGAGAGAACTTTACAGTTCACTAGTCTTTCACACACATCATTACAGGGGCACCTCCTACCACCCATTTGGGGCAGATTCTTTTATCCTTTTTCAGAGGTAGATGCAGAGGCTCAGAGAGGTTAAGGGACTTGTTCAAAGTCACAGCTGGCAGTGCCAGGCAGGCAATTAGAACTAGCACTCTAGACTCGTGGTCTAGTATTCTTTCCAACATACCACCCTGCTTCCCTGATAGCCAGGGTACCTGTGTGGTCAGGCTTAAAGTGGGATGTGGAGCACTGCTGGGGCCAGAGTGAGGCAGACAGAGACAAGACCAGTAGGCACTGGCAGTGCTGCTGATTAGACAGAAGCACGCCTGCAACATTCTAGTCTAAGGAGAATGAGAGGAGGGTCCCAAGGGAGTGGTGCTGGGGCAGATGACTGGGGAAGGACTTGAGTTTGCAGCTAAAGAGCTCTGGGAGCTGAGGTTAGGCATTAAGCCCTGGAGAGGGCTCATGTGGAAATCAGAGCCACCTCCTTCCCAGCTCTTCACCTAAAACTAAAGGTAATTATACAAGGTGGTTCAGGAGCAGGGTAGGGCCAGAGCTGGGGGGGATGCTACTGGTGGTCCCAGAAGGGACAGTGAGGGGCCTTCACACCAAGTTCCCTGGGCACTGCCTCAGAGCCCCAGTCCTCATGGCTAAATTGCCCCACTCAGAAGACAAGCCCCCTTCAGCTCCCTCATCTCCAAGATTGAAGAGCTAGATGAAGTATTAACAACACAATGAAGACAGTAATGGCAGTAATATTAGTGAATGTTTACAGTACCCTTACTAGGCCCCATTAGCTCCATCATCCCCTATTGCAGCCCAGGCTCCCTCAGTCCCTACACTCCTGTCCTCAGCTCTCCCATGTGACTCTCTCATCTACAACTGCTCCAAAAGGGGAAGGAGCCCTAAATCTTCCCTAGTCCTCAAACTTCTTGCCTATCCTGACCTCTACCGTGCTTCTCCACATCTCCAGAGACAGTCCCCATTACAACTGCTAACTGTTATCACTGACAACCAGCTTTTGTCCACGTCTGATTATGCCTATGATACTGAGGCTTGGAGCAAGGGCTCTGCAGAGATCATCCTGACTCTGATCACCCCACAGCACAAAATGGACTTTAGTGTCAGGCAGCTCAGACACACCCATCTTGAGTCTTCATCATTACCTAGGTCTGTGACCTTGAGTAAGTCACTAGCCTTTCTGAGCCTTTCTTTATTTATCTGCAAATTGGGAACTATAGTGATAATTGGACTACAGGCAGAGGGTTTTTTTTTTTTTTTTTTTTGAGATAGAGTCTCACTATGCTGCCCTCAGTAGAATGCCATGGTATCACAGCTCATAGCTGTGATATTAAACTCTTAAGTGATTCTTTTGCCTCAGCCTCCCAAGTGACTGGGACTACAGGTGCCCACCAGCTATATTTTTTGTTGTTGTTGCAGTTGTCATTGTTGTTTAGCTGGCCCAGGCTGGGCTCAAACCTGCCAGCCTGGGTGCATGTGGCCGCCACCCTACCCACTGAATAAGGGCGCCGCCTGTTTTTTTGTTTGTTTGTTTGTTTAAACGAAGATTACTGCTTAGCACAGTGCCTGGCACTTCTAGAAAGCACTAAGTCTTAGACCCTATTCATTTTATTATTGTTCTCTCCCTGGTGCATTTCCTGGCCACTTTCTTAGGACAGCAGGGATATTTTTCCTGTTGCAGCCTCGCCTGGCTCCAGAGTATGTGTGGAGGGGGGAAGGCCCTGAGAGGGGATGAGGTGTAAGGGCTCTGATGAACTGTGCCTGCTGACACCCGCCCCCACCACATTCCACAGACCTCGCTGGTGCACCTGCTGAAGACGGTGAGGCTGCTGCGGCTGCTGCGGCTGCTGCAGAAGCTGGAGCGGTACTCGCAGTGCAGTGCTGTGGTGCTCACACTGCTCATGTCGGTCTTTGCACTCCTTGCCCACTGGATGGCCTGCATCTGGTATGTCATCGGGCGCCGGGAGATGGAGGCCAATGACCCGCTGCTCTGGGACATTGGTGAGCCACTGACCCCAAACTGTCACTGACCATATGTCTACCTGTCCTGTCCCCAAGCTAATGCCTCCACCAGTACCCACACCTACCATCCCAATTTCTCCATTCATCCAACAAACTTACATTGAATGCTTTCTGGATCAGGTGTGGGAATACCGATTTGCAGATAAGGGCTCTATCTTTGAGGAGAACTCACAGCCTAGCTGGGAATAAGACCAGTGATAGATGATCAAAATTCAGTGTAGGAAACACTTGGATAGCAGAGGACTGTTTTGGGCAGAGGGAGCAGTGTGTGCACAGCCCCAGAAAGAGTTTGGCCTGTCATTTCTCTGCCCCCATTAGTCCCTCCCTCTCCAGGCTTAATAGCGACTGGCCAGGAGACAGCCCAAGGCACTCAATGTTTCCTGAAAGGCATGTCAGATCCTGGGCACCATCCCTGACAACCTCTCTCTCCTTTGCCCCACTCCTAGCCTACCACATCAATATCACCTCTTGGATACCTTTGAGTCTGGCCTCTTTTCTCCATCCCTTTGTCTCTTCCCAGTCCACCCACCTTCCTCTCTCACTCAACCTTATGCAATAGCCTCTACTGACCTCCCTGCCCCCATCTCACCCCCCCCCCCAACCCCTTCCTCACCAAATTGGTCTTCCAAGAATCAACACTGACCTGCCTGGACTCTTTCAGTGACTCCCTACTGCCCTCCAAATGAAGTCCACACTCCATGCTCACTGTGGGCAGCACTGCACCCTCTCTGTCCCCACCTGCTTTCCCTTTCTCCCCTGTTCCCTATGCTGCATCTATGTGAGCCTCCCTCCCAAACCCAGGATATACTGCTTTCTCATGTCAGGCCTCAATCATGTTTTTTTCTCTGGCATCTTCCCTCTTTTGTCTCCTATCTCTTCACCTAGGTGACTTTCCTGTTCCTTGCAATCTCAACTAAAATGCCCTGTCCCAAAAGATCCCCCCCAGAAACCATCCCTCCCACCCCACAACTGCCAACTGGGTTGGCTCTCCCTCACCTGGTAGGATTCCTAACACACCCTATATGGTAACTCACCTCCTACCTGTAATGATTTAGTTCATGTCTCTTTCCCTTCCTGACTATAAGTTCTACTGGGGCAGAGCAAGTGTCTGGCTTGATCAAGTCCCCAGCACCTTGTACATAAGAGATGCACAATAAAATATTAGAGAGTTTAAGGGCCCCCTGACTAGTCAGCAGTGTAGGGAGTTGGTGGCCTTGGACTGCAACTGTTACCAACTCACCACGGGAGGCACTGGCACAGGCTGCTCCAAACACTTCCTGTGCCAACCTGGGCACACCATCCCTCCTACTGTGTAAATAATGGCCCAAGGTCAAGCCAGCCAGCTCAGGAAAGCCCGGTTCTCCACTGTGCACCCGCCAGCCAAGGCTCCTCCATGCTTCCCCCCACAGGCTGGTTGCATGAGCTGGGCAAGCGGCTGGAGGTGCCCTATATCAACGGCTCTGCGGGCGGCCCATCGAGGCGCAGTGCCTACATCGCTGCACTCTATTTCACGCTGAGCAGCCTCACCAGCGTGGGCTTCGGCAACGTATGCGCCAACACTGACGCCGAGAAGATCTTTTCCATCTGCACTATGCTCATAGGCGGTGAGGCCACACCCAACAAGGGAGGGGGGCTTTGTGAAGCACAGCGTGCACATGGAGAAACTGAGGCCCCAAAGGGCAGTGTCTGCCCAAGTTGTCTACCCAAGTCCAGACAGTCACGCATTAATTTGCTGATGTTTCCTCACCTGGAGCGGGTGGACCACAAAAGGCCTGGCCTCTTATGAAAGGAATGAGGAACCCAAGTTCATGACCTAATGGGGGTGGGAGCATGGTAGGTGCATGGGACCTGACCCATTTCTGCACCACTTCCTATTCCCCACCCCTAACCCAGGGCTTGGCACCAGGTAGGCTTGCAAGAGCCCACTCTCTCTCCTGCCCGGAGCCAGGAACCCAGAGACCAGTCCAGGACAGGGTGGGTTTGGGAGCAGAGGCGGCGGCTGGAGGGGTGGCCGCCTCTTACCTGCTGCCCGCTACCCCCGCTGCAGCGCTGATGCACGCAGTGGTGTTCGGGAACGTGACGGCCATCATCCAGCGCATGTACTCGCGCCGCTCACTCTACCACAGCCGCATGAAGGATCTCAAGGACTTCATCCGCGTGCACCGCCTGCCGCGGGCGCTCAAGCAGCGGATGCTCGAGTACTTCCAGACCACATGGGCTGTCAACAGCGGCATCGACGCCAACGAGGTAGAGAGCAGAGGCCTGGCCCACCCCTGGCTTGCGGTGTGGCAGTGCAGCGGGGATGGAGTCGCCGCCCTTGGATTTGCAACGGGGGCAAATGGGTGCTGGGCATAAGGGCGCGAGTCCACCCAAATCCCTATCCCCTTTTCTTAGCACTGGAATATGGGAGCTGAAAAGGAGCTCAGGCCTCTACCAATGCCATTCTCCCTTTAGTCAACATTTCCTGAGAAGCTGCTTTGGGCCAGCCTTGGGAGCTTAGAGATGATTATACTCAGCCCTGGCTCTCAGGGAGACCCCAGAATGGTGAGGGAGGTAGGGGATGAACAAAGAGTTCAGAGAGCTGAACGGCTGTGAAGGAGGAGGAATGTTGGTGCAGTAGAACCCTCATTGTGTCTGGCCAGAGGAGTCAGGCAGGGTGGCACAGCAGAGGGAGCGTGGTAAAGGACTGGCTTGCTACTTCCCTGCTACTGGGAAGCCATTCCAGGCAGAAAAGAACAATAGGAACATGAGTCCGGAAGTGGTGCCCCTAAAGAGCAGAGGGAATTAAAGGAACTGAAAGTAGTTCAGTCAGCCTCAGGAATGGGGCCTGAATTTTGTTGAGGAAGGAGAGAGACCCAGCTCTTGGGCTTAGATTATATCCTACAAAACGCTTACGCTGGAGAGTGGCGAGAACTAGGATTGCTGAAGTATTTCTGAGGGTGAGAGCCATGGTGATCTCTGGTTGGTTGCCAGGAGGATCTCAGCGTGCAGGTTTCTGGCTTAGTCATGGGGGCAGGATGGAAGCATTCCAGGAGGACGATTTGGCTTAGGGATGAAGGTGAGAGTCAAGAGTTGGTCCACAAGGAGGGTGTGGAGGATCGCCCAGTAGGGATTTAGAAAGCAGGTCAGGACCCAGAGTTAGGGGTTGAGGCACACAGGTGGTGGGGGAATCATGGGACTGGTTGTTCTGCAGGGAGAGTGTGAAAAGTTAGGAGAGATGGTGAGCTGAGGAAGAGGGGTCTGGAGAGGAAGTGAGGAATGAGCAGTTGGACAGGTGGGAGGAAGACAGGAAGGGAGTCCCTCAGAAGAGCCCAGGTGGGAAAAAAGAGAGAGGTCAATATGCCAAAGTGACCAAGGCACTTCATAATATGAAGATGAAAATGTGCATGTTAAGTTTGTCCCTAAGAGGTAATTGTCAATGCTCAAAATCTAGCAAAACTCTATGTTTTACAGATGGGAGTACTAAGGCCCAGAGAGTGGAAATGGATTGCCCAAGGGATTTAAGAGCAGAGCTGACTTCTAGTCTCGTGGTTCCTTGTTGAAGGCTGACCCTCTGGGGATGGTTCTTGAATGTATGAGGTTGAGCAACCAGGGCATGCATGAGTGTGTGTAGCCATAGAGTGAACAATAAACCTGATCTGTGCCCCAGAAATTGGCTTGGCAGGTTCACATAGCAAACAAAATTAAGGTTAGACCCACAGAGGTCATCCTGAAGGTCTGGAATGAGTGACTTCAAAGCAGAGGGCAAGTTGGAGTTCTCACCTTAAAGATAGCTGGACACATTTTTAGACTCAAGAAGTAGCTGCAGGGGGATGGCTAGAGTGACCTATGCCCCTTATGCAGTTACTGCGTGACTTCCCAGACGAGCTGAGAGCTGACATTGCTATGCATCTGAATCGGGAGATCCTGCAGCTGCCGCTGTTCGGAACAGCAAGCAGGGGCTGCCTGCGGGCCCTCTCGCTGCACATCAAGACCTCATTTTGCGCTCCTGGCGAGTACCTGCTGCGCCGTGGGGATGCCTTGCAGGCGCACTACTACGTCTGCTCCGGCTCACTTGAGGTGCTCCGAGACAACATGGTGCTGGCCATCCTGGGTGAGGACCCCATCACCACCCACCATCTACCCCAGAACCCTCCAAAGATGTCTTGGGAATGGCCAGGAATTTAGGGAATGGCACTGCCCTTGTTAATATCTGGAATTCCTAGTGAGGAGTACCCCATTTTTTTTTCTTTGAGACAGAGTCTCACTCTGTTGCCCAGGCTAGAGTACCATGGGGTAAGCCTAGCTCACAGACACCTCAAACTCCTGGGTTCAAGTAATCCTCCTGCCTCAGCCTCCCGAGTAGCTAGGACTACACCTACAAGGCCTATTTTCCTATTTTTAGTTGAGACAGGGTCAGAGTCTTGCTCTTGCTCAAGTAGTCTCAAACTCCTGAGCTCAAGGGATTCTCCCACCTCAGCCTCCCAGAGTGCTAGGAGTGGACTGGAATACCCTTTCTTGGTCTCTTCACCTACCACCATCCCCTTTTGTTTTTGTATTTGTTTTTGTTTTGAGACAGAGTATCACTTTGTCACCCTTGGTAGAGTGCTGTGGCATCACAGCTCACAGCAACCTCAAAATCTTGGGCTTAAGTGATTTTCTTGTCTCAGCCTCCCAAGTAGCTGGGACTACAGGCACCCACCACAGTGCCTGGCTATTTTTAGAATCAAGGTCTCACTCTGGCTCAGGCTGGTCTCCAACTTGTGAGCTCAGGCAGTCCACCTGTGTTGGCCTCCCCAAGTGCTAGGACTCCTGGCATGAGCCACTGCACCTGGCCCCATCATTCCCCTTTTGACCATCCCTTCTAACCCTCTGACTTTCCCCTAATCTCTTTGGCCATGCTCTAATTCATCAACCTTTCCAGTGACTATCCCCCAACTCATTTGATCTTTCCCCAACAACCCTAAATTCCACTGACCTTTACCCATTAACTGACTCCTCTGGCCATTGTTTATTGATCATCCAATAACATTGAGCATTCCTTTAGCCCTACTCATACCCCTCACTCTCCACTGACACTTTCCCAATTCTGCCGATTATTTCCATTAATCTCATTGATTGTCCCACCTTAACTATCCTCCAAACATACCATCCCCTAAATCCATTCTACCTCTCCCCAATATCCTATTGGTCTTGCTGCCCCAGCTGACTATCCCCATCCCCACAGGAAAGGGGGACCTGATTGGAGCAGACATCCCTGAGCCAGGGCAAGAGCCTGGGTCAGGGACAGGCCCAAGCTGCGTGCTGAAGACTAGTGCCGATGTAAAAGCACTGACCTACTGTGGCCTGCAGCAGCTGAGCAGCCGAGGGCTGGCTGAGGTCCTGAAGCTCTATCCTGAGTATGGGGCTGCCTTCCAGGCTGGCCTACCCCGAGACCTCACCTTCAACCTGCGCCAGGGCTCTGACACCAGTGTATGTAGACCTCCTACAGCCTCCATCCCTTCCAGGGTCCCTTCCTTCAGAGCAAACCTCTCCTGGATGGAGAGTCTTATGCATCTCCCTCTACTCAGAAAATATTATCCATCAACCCAGGCACCCTTTTCCAAGGCCCCTATGTGACCTCCTGACCCTAATGCCATCATTAGCTCCATGGCCCACCTCTCATCACCCTCTACTTTTAGCTCTACTGCCCCACCTCCTGTTGACCACCCCCCCCCACCCCCCGCCTCATCCAGATTTCTTCAGAGGACCCTTCCTTTGGAAACAGCACCACTCCTGGCATCCTCCATGAAGTCCCTGTCCTGACTGGGCATTGTCCCCTGGATCTTCCCCATTCACTAAATGTTTCCTGAGCCCACCATACCTTAGGCTCTGAGCTTTTGTCTTTTGCTGCCTTTCAATCTCACTTTGCTACCCAGTGTGACTTGAGTCAGAGGTGGTATCTGATTCAGTTCCACAGAAAGGCCCCATTCCAAGCCCCATAACAGTGTTGAGTTGGATGAGGGTCTGCCTTAGGGCAGTGGGGAGGTGAGAGTTGGCTTGAACCCCACTATGTCCCCACAGGGCCTTGGCCGCTTTTCCCGATCCCCTCGCCTCTCCCAGGTAATACCCCTTCTTGGATGGGCTGTGGCTGCACAGAGGGTGGGAGGCCTCTCCTTGGCTCCAGGGCTGCAGGGGGTAGGAGAGGTTGGGGCAAAGGCGGCTGCTTAATGAAGGGGACTGTTGTTCTCTGTCCAGCGACATCAGCTGCCCTCTCTGCCCACAGCCCCGCTCAGAAAGCCTTGGCTCCTCCTCAGACAAGACGCTGCCATCCATCACAGAGACTGAGGGTGGCTCAGAGCCTGGGGGTGGACCCAGGCCTCGCCGGCCCCTCCTGCTGCCCAACCTCAGCCCAGCACGGCCTCGAGGCTCTCTGGTCAGCCTTTTGGGCGAGGAGCTGCCCCCATTTTCAGCCCTGGTCTCCTCTCCTTCCTTATCCCCATCCCCTGCCCTGGCTGGCCAGGGCCACAGCCCCTCCCCTCATGGCCCCCCCAGGTGCTCTGCTTCCTGGAAGCCCCCACAGCTTCTCATTCCCTCACTGGGAACCTTTGGACCTCCGGACCTCAGTCCCCGGTGAGACGCCAGCCTCTTCTGCCTCCCTCATACGCTTACTGGCTTCCAGAACCTTCTCTGGGCCCTCTCCCTAGGGTTCTCCCAAATAGTGCTCCTTCCTGTCTCTGCCCCATTTGCCCACTCTATCCTTTCAGCCACAGCTTGCATCCCCATCTGCTTTGGCCTCTGCTCCTCACCCCACCCCTGCCCTACTGCTCCTACTCAGCCTCTGCCTGCCCCGCTCTGGCCCTCTGCCCTTCCCATGGTGCTGATGAGTACCGCCCTGTCCCCAGGATAGTGGATGGCATTGAGGACTCTGGCAGCACAGCTGAGGCCCCTACGTTCCGCTTCAGCAGGAGGCCTGAACACTCAAAGCCCCGCTCACAGGCCCCCCCTACAGGTAAGATAGACTGCAGCTCAGGCATCTGTTCATCCATCCATCCTTCCATCTATCCAGCTATCTCACTTGTAGTAGGTAGTAGGAGCCTGCCACATGCCAGGGGCCGTGTTGGGAATACAGAGGTAAACCAGACCTGGCCCATGTCAGGCTAGCAAGGGAGACGCATGTGTACATAGATAACCAATTCCAGAACTGGGTGCTAAATACCTCAACTGAGACAAGAACAGGACTTTGTGATAGGAGAGGAAGATGCCCCTAACTCTGCCTCCTAGAGAAGAGGACACTTCAGTTGCTTTTTCAAGAGTAGGTAGGATTTTGAAGGGTGGAGAAAGACAGTTGTTTAAAGGTATGAAAATCAAAGGAATGTTACATTCACATTTCAAAGAGAGACTTTGTATCTAAATCTGGGGGTGGTGGTGAGAAAGATGAGGCTGGGGAATTGTAGGGCCTCCAAACCAGCCTAAGGAGTTTGGATTTCCCATTTCCCATATCCCAGAGCTTTTTCTCCCCTTGCTCTCTGCCTACCTAGGGACGGGGGGGGGGGGGGGGAGGGTGTCTAGGCCAAGCTGCAGGCTCAGGTGTTCATGCTTCCTTAACTCACCTGCATCCCCTCACCTCATTCTGCCTGCAGGAATCAGGACCAGCTGGGAAATGGCCACTGAGGCTGAGGAAGTGAAGGAAAAGATCTGCAGGCTAAACCAGGAGGTGGGTTGGTCCAGCTGCTCCCCTCCAACCTTGGAGAATATCATCTCAGGATCACAGAAGTGCCTGTTACAGGAGCATTTCAGGTTCTGGAGCCACAGTCCTGAATTCAAATATTCACCATAGCTGGATGACTTTGGGCAAGTTCCACAACCACTCTGAACTTCAGTGTCCTCAGCTATTATAAAATTGGGAGGAATAATATTATATTCTTCCCAGCGTCTTGAGGATGAAATGAGAGTGCATATATGCCTGGTCTTATCCCTGGCCCATCATAGGTGCTCAGTAATGTTGGTCCCCCCCCCACACACACACACACAATGGCTCAGGTTTTCCAGCCTGAAAAGAGGATCTCTTTCCCCTCCACCACTGTGGTAGCCTGTGGTGCTAGGGACCTGCCCATACCCAGTCATGGTGCATAAGTCCTTTTCCCTTACACTCCACATCTGAGTGTTAAAGAGATGTGGGGGCCAGAGGTAGGGGACCTGGACCCAGATGTCTGAATCCTGGCCAGGAAGAGCCCAGATTCTATGCGTGGAGAAGCTGTCTCCACCTTCTGCCCAAGGGATCTCAGAACTGCCATCACAGAGGCAGGTCCAGCCCCTGGGAGTCTGCCTTTCTTTTGTTCTGATAAACATCGGCCATCCCAGAGGGTGACACCTGGGCAGGGGCGGGCCCTTGTGCAGCAGGATTCAGAGCAAGCCTTGCCTCTCTGCTCACTGGCTCAGGCAACCCTCTGTTCTTCTAAGCCACTTGAGTGCCTGTCAGAACTACCAGAGAACCTATTAAAATGCAGATTTCTGGACCTCACCCAATTTGGAATATCTAGGGTAGGACCCAGATATCTGCATTTTGAAGTTTCTCAGTTTATTCTGTACTCACTAAAGTTTGAAAACCACTAATACAGATACTTGAGCTTGCATGACAAGATCGTCTGAGAGTAAGCCTGTCTCATCACAATTGTGTGGCCTCTGTGAGAACATTTTTCTACAACTTGTAAAAGGAGGGGGTGGGAAATAGCAATATCTGCTGCCCCAAATCTTTTTTTGAAAGAGACTGGGATATTTACATCTAGGCAAAAATAACTATGACCCTTTCCCTGCCTTCTTCCCAGGGTGGCCCCAAGCAGAGAGAGTGGTTGTGAAGGAGCTTTGTAAACTGTGGAGGGGGTGTCACTGGTTGTTACTGTGACACCTGTGAAACAGTTTGATGTGTTTCCAACAGATCTCCCGTCTCAATCAGGAAGTATCTCAGCTTAGCCAGGAGCTGCGGCACATCATGGGTCTGCTACAGGCCAGACTATCTCCCTCAGGCCACCCAACAGTCTCAGCTTGGCTACCAGCTCCTCCTTGTCCCCACCTGAGGTCGCCAGGCATCTCTTCCTGTGTGTCCAGACCACCACCTAGCCTCCAGGATACTACATTTGCTGAGGTCCACTGCCCGGCCAGTGTGGGTGCAGCAGAGATGGGGGCCACCCCCCTGGACCTGAGACCTTCCATAGTGCCTCCCTACTCCTCAGAGCCGGACCCTCTTGTGCCCACCCCCGTGCCAGAGGCCTCAACCCCGACCCCAACCTTCAGGAGGCACAGTTTCCGGTCCAGGTCAGACACGTTCCACTGACCCTGGCCCTGGGCCCAGGCCTGTTTGGGGTAGGCATTGCTGCCTGCCATCCAGGGAGGAGCTGGGCCCCTTGGCCTCCTGTCTTGAGGTCAACATCCACCAGCTGGTCTGGCTGGCTGTGTATTTCTGGACTTTTTAACAAAGTGTGGTCACCACTGACCCTATTCCCTTTTCCAAATCTATCCCACCCTCCCCCTCTGTGAGGGGGAGTTACCTGAGACTATGGAACCCAGCAGGCGTGAGATGGACCACAGTGCCCATTAGGCTGGGCAGATGAGATGTCCTGCTTTCTCCCCAGGACCTGAAGGCAAGTAGAGATGGGGGAGTAGAGGGGATGGGCAAGGGCTCCAAATCCAACCTAGAAGATAAAGGCTGAGGCCAAGACAGGGCATGAACTTAGTGTCTAAAAGAGGGATAGATTGCAGGATTCTGTTCTGGCGATAGCTTAGTGCTGCTTTTGCCCCAGATCTCTGCTAGAGACCTTGAGAGTCATGTCACCTATAGAGAGAGAGGTTAGAGATGCTGGTTGGCCTTTTAGCAACCCAAGACTTCTTAGGCTGCCCACAGCCAGCCCAGGATGGAGAGGCTCACCTCATCCTACAGCCCACTCAGGAGACAAACTGAAGGCCCCAGATATGTATTCTTTTACTCACACAGCATTTTCTTTCTTTCTTTCTTTCTTTCTTTTTTTTTTTTGAGACAGAATCTCACTATATCACCCTGGGTAGAATGCTGTGGTGTCACAGCTCACAGCAACCTCAAACTCTTGGGCTTAAATGACTCTCTAGCTTTGGCCTCCCAAGTAGCTAGGACTATAGGCACCTGCCATAATGCCTGGCTATTTTTTTTGTTGTTGTTGTCATTATTGTTTGGCAGGCCCAGGCTGGATTCAAACCTGCCAGCTGCAGTGTATGTGGCTGGTGCCCTAACTGCTGACCTACAAGCACCAAGCCCTCACACAGCATTTTCAAAATATGAATTAATTGTCAACATTAAAAATCAGTACAGGCTCGGCGCCTATAGCTCAACCGGCTAAGGCGCCAGCCACGTACACCTAAGGTGGTGGGTTCGAATCCCCAGCCCGGACCTGCCAAACAA